TTTGGGGGTTTTTCGAGACAGGGTTTCTCTGTGTAGCTCTGCGCCTTTCCTGGGACTCACTTGGTAGTCCAGGCTGGCCTCGAACTCATAGAGATCCACCTGCCTCTGCCTCCCGAGTGCTGGGATATCATATCAACATGTAGTAGCCTTTTCTCTAGCATGTCTGCCTGCACACCACCATGCTCTCCTTCATAATAATGGACCAAACCTCTGAAACCATTCCCTGACACCTCAATTAATTTTATAAGAGTTGCCATGGTCATGGTGTTTTCTTTATAGCCATAGAAACCCTAATTAAGACAGTGACCAAACTCAATCTGGGTCACCGCAGAAGCATACTCATCCCATGTGATGATCTCTGTTGTCAATTAGACAGGACCTAGAATCATCCCCCTAGAATCCCCCTGGGACTGGCTTGTGAGCTTGCCTATGTGAGATCACCCAGATCAAGTTAATTGATGCAGAAAGAGCCATTTTAATTGTGGGTCAAGTTATCTGAGCAAGAGCTCCTGTATCAAAGTAGAGTATAACAAAATATCACTACAGTTTAAAACCCAAATTGCAGCCGGGTGGTGGTGGTGGTGGTGGTGGTGGTGGTGGTGCACGCCTTTAATCCCAGCACTCAGGAGGCAGAGGCAGGTGGATGTCTGTGAGTTCGAGGCCAGCCTGGTCTACAGAGTGAGTTCCAGGACAGCCAGGATGACACAGAGAAACCCTGTCTTGAAAAGCAGAAAAGGTAGGTCAATGAAATGGCCAAATAGGTAAACGCACTCACTATGCAAGTGTGATGATCTAGGCGGGACCCTGGAACTCAACGAGGAATGAGAACAGACTCCTAGAATGGACTTCCATACATGCACTATGACATGTACACCCCCCACACACATGTAAAAAAATTCATGTAAGAAATTTCTTGAAAGTTATAAAAAATAAGTCTATTACAGTTCAACCCATTATTTTATGCTAATAAAGACATAAAAATGTGACTAATTATTGAAAGTGTAGAGGCACAAAACCCACTGCCTGCATGTGAACAGATGGTTTACTGCAGACCCCCAGTTACTGCTCCAGCCTGTGCCAGTCAGCTTTAGCTGTCAGCCTGGCAGAGCCCAGTCCTCGGACAGGAAGGACCGATGGATGAACCAAGGAACTGCTTGCATCAGGTCGGCCTGGAGGCACCTGTCGGGGGCTGTCTTGGTTTTTAGTTGATGCAGGAGGGACCAGCCCACTAGGCATGCCACCATGCTCAAGGCGGGTGCTCCTGGCCTACACAAGGTTAGCTAAGCATGAGCCAGCATGAGGGTCCCCAGGCTTCCTGTTTGGACTTCCCTCAGAGACGGTCACCTATAAGATGAAGGAAGCCCTTTCCTTTCCGAAGTTGCTTTTAGTCAGAATGTCTTTTTTCTTTAACAGTTTACTTTTCCTTTATAATACACAGTTCTGTGTGTGTGTCTGCACTTGAACTGCAGTGTGCCCTTGGAGGTGAGCAGAGAGCATGCCTGAAGTGACACTAAACTCTTAAACAACTGAGCCCCCCTGCCCCCCAGCCCTGGTCAGTGTTTCATCACAGCTACAGAGAAGCAAACTAGACAGGCCATCCAGCCCTGACTGCCGTTGGCTGCACACCTGTGGTGGAGTACAGTCTCGTGCTTTGCGTGTGCAAGGGGGAGGCACAATCCTTGCTTTGAAGAATTCAGCCCATCAGTCACGGTCTCCACATGTCCTTACGAAATTCTTAAATTTAGTACCTTGACTGCAACTAACATTTAAAGGCAATTAAAAATCAAGTGGCCCTTCCTCTGTAATTCATGTTCTTGTCTAGGGTAGTTACATTTCATCACCTGTATAAAAACAATATGGATGCTTTAAGCACCAGGAATCTACTTTCCTTAATATTTATAAACCAAATTATTAATGTTCCTATCAAGATTTAATAAGGCTGGGTTCAAGTAACATGGAGTATCTCCTTCACCTTCCTCCCTCCAAGGCATGTTTCTATTTAGTTTATTTTTCTGAAGAAGCCTAACATGTAGCCCAGGATGATCTGGAAACCCCGATCCTCCTGCCTTTGGGTTCTAAGCACTGGATTACAGCGTGTGCCACTGTGCCTGGCTTCCCTTTGACTCTCAACAAGTTCATTTTCATGACGACAGCCATCCTCAAACACAACTAAGCCACAAGTTATGAGAAACAAACCTAAGTCTGTAAACGGAGGGCCGCAGATTGGAATTTGCTTATTTTCTGGCTTAAACACTTTACAAACGGTCTGGAGACAGCTCAGTGAAGGGCACTTCCTGTACCTCCAGAGGACCTGGTTTCAGTTCTCAGCACCATTTCACGAAGTTCACAACCTGTACCTGTGGAGTTAGGAGGACAACGGTTCAGGGTGTGGAGACAGAGGCAGGGGGATCTCTGTGAGTTCAAGGACAGCCAGGACTACAGTGAGACCCTGTATCAAAACTCGACATTTAACAAGTGCATTAATCAGTCCTCTCCCCGACTGCTCCTTACTTCTCTCCTTCCTGATGGGGGTCTATGTAGCCCAGGGCAGCCTCAAATTTAGGATTATCCTCCCTTACCTCTGAACAGTTGAAATCCCAGACACACTGTACAACTATGTATTTTCTATTTATTTCTTTTCTACTTCAAGTTTACACAGAGGTTAGTGATGACTGGAGGGGAACCTGTTTCCACAATTGTGACTCAAGTTTACTTAAAATGAAGCCTTTTCCTAATACAAACCACCAAGGTCTGTGTATATGGGTTCCAGGACCAGACCTTGACTGATTTGTCCTAAACCCAAACTAGAAACTACTTATCTATTATCAATCAATCCGTAAAATTTTTTCCACTTTAAAAAAAAATTTGTTTACTGAGGGGAGGGTCTGAGACAGAGTCTCACTATATAGCTCTGGCTGTCCTGGAATTCACTCTGTAGATGAAGCTGATCTGAACTCAAGAGATCTGCCTGCCTCTGTTCCCGAGTGCTGGGATTATGGGCTGTGTGGTGGAGGTGGTGTGTAGTCTTGGTGCTTGTGTGGGGGCCAGAGAACAAGCCAGTAGGCTGGCTCTCTCCTCTACACAGACTCCAGGACTGAACGCCAGTCAAGAGGTTTGCAAAGCTTGCACACATCTTTACCCACTGAACACTCTAACTTTTTTTTTTTTAGGAGAGACAATCTCATTATTTAGGAATAAGATTATATAATTTGGGGCTGGAGAGATGGCCCATGGTAAGAGCACTGGCTGTTCTTCCAGAGGTCATGAGTTCAATTCCCAGAAACCACATCATGGCTCACAACCATCTGTAATGAGATCCGGTGCCCTCATCTGGTCTGCAGGGATACATGCAGGCAGAACATTGTATATTTAATAAATAAATCTTAAAAAAAAAAAAAAAAGATTGTATAATTTAAACCATTTTTACCATTATCCTTGTTATACAGCTCACCTGAGACACCACACTGGAAGAGGGACTTTCTCAACCCTGAGCAGGAAGGAGGGGTGGCGGTAGGTGAAGGGTGGAGAAATGGCAGGAGGCAGCAGGCACCATGCTGGCTGGGAGTCCTGAGTGCTCCATGTGGCCCTGTCCCCATGGCCACAGAGACAACTGAGCTAGAATAGATTCTGACTAAGAAATACACTACCCTTTGGTTGACTCTTGAGATGGTTTGTTTCTTTTATTAAAAGAAAAACTGTTTTCAAAATGTATAAGAAATTAGACTTTTATCAATACACAAATAAGTTTACTTAAAATCAGCTCAATCCCATATTTAAAAAACTTCCATAACCTCCTTCCAGGGATGTCTGGAACCCAGAGCCAGTTTGTGTGAACCCCGCAGCACACGGAGGAGCAGTGATGTGATGGTCCAGGTACTCTCTTCAGACTCGAGTGATGGATGCAAACAAAACTTTCTTCCCTGGATGAACAGGTGGATTCTTACAAAGAATTCCATCAAGCTGGGCGTGATGGCCACGCCTTTAATCCCAGCACTCTGGGAAGTAGAGGCAGGCGGATCTCTGTGAGTTTGAGGCCAGCCTGGTCTACATATTCAGTTCCAGGACAAGGCTACATAGTGAGACACTGTCTCAAAGAAACAAAAACAAAAAACAAATAAAAAAGAGAAAGAGAGCAAGAACTCCATAAAAAGTCCACGAAGGAAAACTCCGGCTTTCAGAAGAGTTCCAGTACTTCAATGGAGTACAGTCCTCTATTGCTCTTGTCCTGATTCAACTTCTGTAGCTCCCGAAAACTTACTTCAATCTTGTTGAGCTCAGAATAGACAGAAATCTGAGGAAGAAAAGACCCAGAGAAACTCTACTGTAACTCCACATACAACACACTAATAATGGCTTTTCCAGGAACATTTTTGTTTTTTGGACTAGAATGCATCAACGGCCTTAACTATGTATTGTTCCCTCTACCATGAGCTGATTCCATCTCTTCATAACCAAATTTTAAGGATAAGGTGTATGGATTATAGTTATGTTCAATTAGTTTTTTTTTTTTCAAGACAGGGTTTCTCTGTGTAGCTTTGGAGCCTCTTCTGGAACTCCTCGGTAGCCCAGGCTGGCCTTGAACTCAGAGCTCCGCCTGGCTCTGCCTCTCGAGTGCTGGGATTAAAGGCGTGCGCCACCACTGCCGCCCGGCTTTTTTTTTTTTTTTTTTTTTTTTTTTTTAAAAAAACAACCAAGGTATTTCTTGAGACAAGCCACTACCCCTTGGATCTGTGGGGTGGGAGGAGAGAACCACTCTCTAAAGCAGTGTGCTCTGACGGACACATTCATGCTTTGGCATACATGCACCCACCCAAACACATCACCCAACCCAGAATAAAATAATTAACCTAAAAGAATTAAATAGCCACAAACCTGAGATTTCACAAATTTGTAAAGATTAAGAATGAGTCTTTTTGCTTCTGGAATCATTAAGACAACAGTAAAATTAGCATCGAGAAGTAGGCATATCCAATCCATAATCTGGAGATAAATACAAAAAAATTAATCCATTAATTCAAGTCCATTATGGTCTCAAACAGAGGAAAAACAAATCTTTTTTTTTTTTTTTTTTTGGTTTTTTGAGACAGGGTTTCTCTGTGTAGCCTTGGCTGTCCTGGAACTCACTCTGTAGACCAGGCTGGCCTTGAACTCAAGAGATCTGACTGCCTCTGCCTCCCAAGTGCAGGGATTAAAGGAGTGCGCCACTATTGCCTTGTGAGTCCAGTGAATCTTGAGTGTAAAATTAAAATTTGTCTAGAAGAATTGTACTGACACGATGAGGAGGGCACAAGAGGCGCCGCCCGCCCTGAGGGACTGAACTCCTGGCAAGTCTGAGCTGTTGATGAGGCTGTCTATCCATCCAGTGGTGCAGCCACTGGGAAGCAGACACCCTCCACCCATGCTCATGAAGGAGCCCTCATCAGACTCTGGGTCACACGAACACAGACATGAAGTCCTATGAGGGCATGTCTCAGGAATAAGGGGCTTCATAAGAAGAGGGGGAGAGAGGTAACAGGGAGAAAAAGACTGAAGTCACTGCATTCATAACACATGAAAATGTCAAATAATAAGAAAACAACACTAAAACAGTAACAAGACAAATGATAATTAACTCAATACACAAAGATCTGTTTATAAACACCTCTCCTCCAAACAGGAAATACAACAGAAAGATGGATAAAGAACCTGAGAAAATAACTCACAAAAAGGAGTAAAGCAAGAAAAACTATTGCCCCTCTACTGTCAAAGGCTATCCATGGCAACATTGTTCTACCTGACTAGCAGGACTGAGAAGTTTGACAATAACCGCAGGTGTGGGCAGAGCATGGGAACTAAGTGCCCGACTTCAGGGGCAGGCCCCATCACAACTCTTTGGAAAGGTAATCTGGCATTATGAAAACTGAAAACACATGCCCCTTTCCCTCAGTGTTCCTCTTGTGGGAATAAACCCACAAAGATACCCATGTGAAGATTAGCACTCAAAGACTATTTCTGTTGTAAAACTTGGAAGCGACGTATCAGGAGGGGATGAGAAAAGCCAGAACATGTCTGCAACATGGTACTGAGACAAAGAATCAACTTGGAGAATGTCACACACACACTAAAGGTCTTGTGTCAGAAAGACAAAAATCAAAGACAGGTAAAAGACACAAAAGAAACTTTTCTGAGTTTTTTTGTTTGTTGTTTCTTTAAGACAGGGTTTCTCGCCGGGCGGTGGTGGCGCACGCCTTTAATCCCAGCACTTGGGAGGCAGAGCCAGGCGGATCTCTGTGAGTTCGAGGCCAGCCTGGGCTACCAAGTGAGCTCCAGGAAAGGCGCAAAGCTACGCAGAGAAACCCTGTCTCGAAAAACCAAAAAAAAAAAAAAAAAAAAAAAAAAAAAAAAAAAAAAAAAAAAAAAGGGATTCTCTGTAAAGTCCTGGCTGTGCTGGAACTCACTCTGTAGAGCAGACTGGTCTTGAACTCAGAGAGCTGCTGCCTCTCCGCCTCCCAAGTGTTGGGATCAAGGTGTGTGTACCATGCCTGGCTCCACAAGAGAAACTTTTTTCTTTTTAGTTTTTGGTTTTTTAAGACAGGGTTTCTCTGAAGCTTTGGAGCCTGTCCTGGACTAGCTCTGTAGACCAGCCTGGCCTCGAACTCACAGAGATCCAACTGCCTCTGTCTCCCAAGTGCTGGGATTACAGGCATGCGCCACCACCGCCCGGCCACAAGAGAAACTTTTAATGTTGGTTATCTCTAAGAGGGGCTGGAGGAGCAGAGGTACAAAGTTTACCTTTTTTCCCCTTGTTTGTTGAGGCAAGGTCTCACTATGAGAACTCATTGTGCAGACCGGACAAGTCTTGAACTCATAGAGACTCATCTGCTCCTGACTTCTGAGTATTAGGATTAAAGGCACATGCCACCACACCTGGTCTCAATGTGTGCTTCTGAACCTACAGTGCTGTAGAAACTTTCTCCTACAAAGATGATTTGGGGTTCTGTAATCTGGAACTATGAATCTAGAAATCCACCTACTTACTGAACAGAGAAGCCCTCTCCAATCCAGCAACGTGCATGAGGGAGGAGGCGGAGGTCGCCAGAGACCAATCGGTAATGGCACTGCAAGGCTGACCCCTGCACGCAAGGCTTCCGTACAGTGGCAGAAGCAGTCTCACCTGGCTCAGAGTCGGAGGGCTTACTCCAGGAAGAGTCATGGCAGCATCGCCACTGCACTTCAGATAGAGGAAATACAGGTACTGGAGAAAGAGCTGCGGGAGGGAACAGGAGCACAGCTTACCACCCGGGGGAAAACAACGTTCTCTGCAGAGAAGCCCAACAGACAGTAGAACAAATCTACCCCGCTGCTCAGTTAACTGATACATCAAACAAATGTGAAGACAGACAGAATGAGAAAAACGGAGTCCCTGTCACCGCTAAGCAGCTCTCTAGTTAGGACAGGAATGAGCTCAGGTCAGAAAACAACAGGTGAGAAGAGACAATTTTTCCCTTTTCTTTTTTCAGTTCTTTTAAGTGTCTCTTCAGTGACAATCTGAGATGGTTTAACCTGGTTTCCAGCATGGAAAAGGAACATACCAAGGTCTCTCACCCCCAAATCACTCTGGTCTCCTGAGCAATTTTCACCGTGTGTGGGCTTCTCTCTTACGCATATGAAAGTGTCCCACAGTGTTAGAATGGCCGACTAGTTGCTCAGAATTACGCAGGACAACTCAGACCAGAAATCAAATGCACAGGGTGTGCAGAACACTTACTGTGATGTGCTTCGCAGGGATGTCCTTCAGGTGCGGCAGGAGGAAGGTCTCACTATATGCTGAATGGAGAACTGCATTTCTACTCGGGACTAAAGGAAAATCTTCAATAAAGGAAAGGCTGCACTACTGTAAACAGAGTCGTTCCCTTCCGGGTTTACAGCAGGTCTAACCTCCTCCAACACTCTATCACCAGAGATCGGGAACACCAGTCATTTGTAAACACATTTTTTAAAGAACTGATAAAAAGCTCGTACACTACTATAGCTTCTGCTGCTCCTTTTCTCCCTTTTTCGGGGGGCAGGGTGTACGGTTTCAAGACAAGTTTTCTCTGTGTAACAATCCTGGCTGTCCTGGAACTCCTATGTAGCCTAGGCTAGCCTCAAATGCACAGAAATCCGCATGTCTCTGCCTCCCGAGTGCTGAGATCAAAGGCACGCACCATCACTGCCTGGCACCTTTTTTTCCCTGTGGATATAGAATCTTACCCTAGCCCAAGCTGGCTTTGAACTCTCAGCAATCCTGCTTCGGTTTCCCAAGTGTTGGGATTACAGGTGTGAGGTCTAGTATAGCTCCTTCTTTTTTTAAAATGACACTTTTATGTACAGGTGTTCTGTCTGCATGCGCGTCTGTGTGAAGGCTGCTGGATCCCCTGGAACTGGAGTTAACAGTTGTGAGGTGCTATGTGGGTGCTGGGAATTGAACCCGGGTCCTCTGGAAGAGCAGCCAATGCTCTTAACCACCGAGCCGGCTCTAGCTCCTAGTATTATAGCTTCTTAATTATGAATACAGAGGAAAAAGAAGAAAAAAGAAAAGAAAGCAAACAGGCCAAGAAAGACATGGTGGCACACCCCTGCAATCTTGGCACTCTAGAGACAGGAGGATGCCAAGGCTACATGAGCCACATCTCAAAACAAAATTAAATGAAACCAAATGACAAAAGAACCCCCAAAGAAAACAGATATCGATGGCTAGGGAAGGTAGCTCTGAGGTAGAGTTTTTGACAAGTATTCATAAGACCACAGGAGTAATCCACCCCAACACACATGCACGTGTGCACGCGTGGGGGTGAGGGGAGAAGAGAAGAAAAATGGGGGGGGGGAGGCAAGAGATAGGTTTAATAAATTAGATGAAAGCAGTATCTAATATAATCCATTTCAAGCAGACACTGAGAAAACTGGGGGAAACAACTGGATCACGCCTCAGTCACTGCTTGCATATAACTATATCCCTAAGGAACAGTGCAACGAAACCATCTGGAAGGATACAGCAGAGCCGCTCGCTTTGGTGCCACAGGACATGAGGTCACGGGGAAAGAGACGGTCTCTTTGGCTGCGTCTTCGGGCTTTTTATTTAACTGCTGACCATCTTTACTGCAGCTACTGTCTTCGGGACTGAAGCCATTTTGAACAATCTCAGCTGGCTCTTCCATTTCCTTTTTCTCATCATGTATGGTATCACTATAATCAAAAACTGACTCCATATTGATATTAATGTCCCGAAGACAGTCATCACCAATGCTACGATGTTAATTGAAAGCAAGAGGTTAATTCTTCTCACCATTTCAACCCCTGAAAGTTCATCTTCTAAGCATTCAAATAAGCCACAGATTTAAATGACATCAAGGGAACGAGAGCACAGGTCCTAACTCACCTCAAGAAAAGCTTTAAGCAAGCACAGGTGGTCGATTCAGGAATGTCAGGGAACTGCTGCAGACACAGCTGTAACATCTGCACATCTGTGTGTTCTAGGGCAATCTCCATCAAGCCAGGGCACAAGCTGAGACCAAAAATAAGACAATTACTATGATTTAAAAAAAAAATCATTAATAAAAAAATTAAAACATGAGTTCTAGGACAGCCAGGGGCTACATAGAGAAACCCTGTCTTGAAAACTAAAACCAACAACCAACCAAAACACACACACACCCCTAAACAACAAAAACTATTTTATGAGTGTTTTGCCTACATGTAAGTCTGTGTACCACCTGTGTGGCTGTTGTCTATGAAAGTCAGAAGAGGGCATTGGATCCAGGGTACTGGAGTTACAGATGGCTGAGCCACCAAGTGGGTGCTAGGAAAATAAACCCAGGTCCTTTTCAAGAAGAGGCTGGCCTCAAACCATAACCTCCCTACTTTGACATTCCGGTGTCTCACTTACAGGCACGCACATCACCACTGTCCTAGTTTTTCCAGCTGCTATGGTAACAACCTATGTGGTTCACAGGCTGCTGGAAATTTTTGAGGCTACAATGTGGAAGTCTGGTATTTGGGGTTCAAAAAGCAGTTAATGCTAAAAGGAAAGCTCAGGAGGCCATTTGGGTGGGACCCTAAAAACAGCAATGCTGACAGAAACCAGACAGTGAACAAGAGACTGGTCTAGGAGTTGGCTCTGGGCCGTTTGTGTGAATTCTGACCAAGAATTTGGCTTCACTGTCCATGCCCTGAGAATATACATGAAGCTGAACTGAGCAATAACAGACTAGTTTGTTTCATAGAGGAAATTTCAAAAGCACTCATTTAGTTTGCTACTGAGAAACAACCTGTAACTCTTCAAGAGATCAATACCCCTAACTAGAAACTTTTTGTGCTGCACTGGACAATAGGGAAGCTGTCACGAGGGCAAAACTCCACCCTTCAGAGGCTTCTATCTAGTGAATACATACAGGTTCACTTAAAGGAAGTCTACTGCCTAGCAATCTGTTGCACTAGAGCCAGCACAAAGAGGCTGATATAGCTGTGGTCCAAGCTACACCCTGCGCTTACAGCAAAAGTCAGCAGCATTATTATGTAGTAATAGTTTTGAGGGTAAAGATAAAAAAATTGAGGCCAGGCAATGTGTGGCAGGATTGGAGTCCCTATAAAGAGGATCCACAAGCCACCGTGTGAAGCTGTGGAAGTCAAGTCTATGTGGTACAGCCTATTTCATCACAGCAACAAAACTAAAGGCAGCTAAGACGACCACCACACCCAGATGGCAACCTCTCCGGTTCTATGGGTGCATGTGGTGTGAATTCATGCATGTTCACTCATGAGTGAGTGTCCATGTATGTGTATGCTTGGGTCTGTGGAGGCCCTAGAGTAATGTGAGAGGCTTCTTCCATTGTCCTTCACCCTGTAACAGGCAGGGGCTCCACTGACCTAGAGATGGAGGTTGTAACTAAGCCCTATCTGCACCTCTCAAGCACTGGGACTGAGGTGAGCTGCATACCCCAGCATACTTTGATGTGGGTTTTGGGGGCCAAACTCCAGTCCTCACACTCTACCCAGTGAGCCACCTCCTCAGGAACCACTCTTACACAGAAAAATCACAAGTACGAAAAACAAGGTCAAAAGAATGCTAAATATTTTTTTTTTTTTTTTTTTTTTTTTTTTTTTTTTTTTTTTTTTT